GTAATTACAGTTCTTTTATTTTTTGCTCAGAAATAAAAGCAGTTAATTGAAGACCCGAATTGCCAACGTATCCTGTATGAGTGCGTTGTGAGCGTGTGTGTCTGTGGAGACAGGCATTTCTCCCCATAATTGCAGGCAAGTACGCACATCTATTGACTCCCGCCACTCAAGTTTTCACTGCAGTTTTTTAAATGTATTTTTTTATTATTATTAACTTGGGGAAGTATAGGAACATCTTTGGATTGATTTTTTTATAATTCAAAGTAACATTATTTTATAGTGGTAATTTCAAAGTCGCGAAAGCAAATACTTCACTTTCTCACTTCTTTCAGTAAAGAGGTGCGTGTGTGTTGGGGAGTAGGGGTAGCCTGTGTAACCAACATTTATTTTATGTACATGTATCTTATGCACATTCAGAGTGCCAAGTTATTTTTTTCAGTGAATGAAAAGGACCCTGGTAATTGCAGTATACACACGCTGGAAATTAACTCTAGTTTAGAGCTAGTCTCGTTAAGGAGGGAGGGGATTTAGAGTAAGGGAGGACTTACTCCTGCTACCTGTTACTGCTCCAGAGTCGGCCAAGTCCTCCCAAGCCACTGTAGGAACTAAAAACTCAGTTGTTTTACTGAAGGCTTATTATTTTACTTACTAGAAGCGGCAACTTCGCCATTGCCAATCGTTGACCATTATAATTACTCAATCTTTTAAAGGGGGATTTGAGGCGAACTTTGAAAAGCCCCAATAAAGAACGGGCGGCCCTTTCAATGGGCTGTTTATTAGACAGGAGCCTTCCGCACCTGATCCCAGGCGCGTGGGAGAGCGCTCTGCGCCGCGCCCCAGTCCTGGCCACGCAGCGAGGGCTTTTATGCAACGTGGAAATTCAGCAGAGGGCCAGGGGGTGGGAAGCGAGTAAAGAAAGGTGAGGGTGAAGTGGAAGATCTCTGCTCACTTTTCTTGCCAAATGTTTCGTTGATGCTGAAATAATTTGCTAGAAGATACTTTTCCTCCTTCATGGATTTGCTCTTCAATCGTGCTTCAGTATAATCTTCTTAAAAATCACAGCAGAGTTAGTAAATTACATAATGTCTCTTCCACTTAAATCGCTAAGTACCAAGAAGCCAGGAGGACACAGACGTGGGAACAGAATTTTGATTTTTTAACTCATAGTTTTTGTGGCGTTGTGAGTGACTTTGATTTACATGCGGATAAACATGCCGTCGCCAAAATGTACACTGATTTTTACACATGTTATCCTGCTGGGCGATCACTGTAAACACACTCAAGTGACTCACTAGAAAACTTACATACATACATACATGAATGCAGAGATACACACATTCACTCTCTCCTTCGCCCCAGCCCTTTCTGTCTCCTCCGTGCCAGCGGGGCTCACACACACCATTATAAAACACTGCATTTAACTTTTCTTTCGGGGCATCCACTTTCCAAAAAGCTGGTACTTCTCTACACGCGCGCTTCTGCAGGGCTAGAGAGTGGGAGATGAAAGCGCATGTAGTTCTGGATGTGGCGTTTTCTCCTTTTCTTTCTGCTTCCCTTTCTCCCCTGTCGAATGTAGGGAACAGAAACATGACCAAATCCTACAGCGAGAGCGGGCTGATGGGCGAGCCTCAGTCCCAGGGTCCTCCAAGCTGGACAGATGAGTGTCTCAGTTCTCAGGACGAGGAGCACGAGGCAGACAAGAAGGAAGACGACCTCGAAGCCATGAACGCAGAAGAGGACTCGCTGAGGAACGCGGGAGAAGAAGAGGAGGAAGATGAGGACTTGGAGGAGGAAGAAGAAGAGGAGGAAGAGGAGGACGATCAAAAGCCCAAGAGACGCGGTCCCAAGAAGAAGAAGATGACCAAGGCGCGCCTGGAGCGCTTTAAGCTGAGGCGCATGAAGGCCAACGCCCGGGAGCGGAATCGCATGCACGGGCTGAACGCGGCGCTGGACAACCTGCGCAAGGTGGTGCCCTGCTATTCAAAGACACAGAAGCTGTCAAAAATCGAGACGCTGCGCTTGGCCAAGAACTACATCTGGGCTCTGTCGGAGATTCTCCGTTCTGGTAAAAGCCCTGATCTGGTCTCCTTCGTACAGACGCTCTGCAAGGGCTTATCTCAGCCCACCACCAATCTGGTTGCGGGCTGTCTGCAGCTCAATCCTCGGACTTTTCTGCCTGAACAGAATCAGGACATGCCCCCGCACCTGCCGACCGCCAGCGCTTCCTTCCCTGTGCACCCCTACTCCTACCAGTCGCCGGGGCTGCCCAGCCCGCCCTATGGTACCATGGACAGCTCCCACGTCTTCCATGTCAAGCCTCCGCCACACGCCTACAGCGCTGCGCTGGAGCCCTTCTTTGAAAGCCCCCTGACTGATTGCACCAGCCCTTCCTTTGATGGACCCCTCAGTCCGCCGCTCAGCATCAATGGCAACTTCTCTTTCAAACACGAACCGTCCGCCGACTTTGAGAAAAATTATGCCTTTACCATGCACTATCCTGCAGCGACCCTGGCAGGGGCCCAAAGCCACGGATCAATCTTCTCGGGCGCTGCTGCCCCTCGCTGCGAGATCCCTATAGACAATATTATGTCCTTTGATAGCCATTCACATCATGAGCGAGTCATGAGTGCCCAGCTCAATGCCATCTTTCACGATTAGCACGTCAGTTTCACTATCCCCGGGAAACAAACCCACTGTGCTTACAGTGACTGTCGTGTTTACAAAAGGCAGCCCTTTGGGTACTACTGCTGCAAAGTGCAAATACTCCAAGCTTCAAGTGATATATGTATTTATTGTTGTTACTGCCTTTGGAAGAAACAGGGGATCAAAGTTCCTGTTCACCTTATGTGTTATTTTCTATAGCTCTTCTATTTTAAAAACAATACAGTAAAGTTAAAAAAAAAAAAAGCACCACAAATTTGGTGTAGCTGTATTCAGATCATATTAATTATCTGATCGGGATAACAAAATCACAAGCAATAATTAGGATCTATGCAATTTTTAAACTAGTAATGGGCCAATTAAAAATATATATAAATATATATTTTTCAACCAGCATTTTACTACTTGTTACCTTTCCCATGCTGAATTATTTTGTTGTGATTTTGTACAGAATTTCTAATGACTTTTTATAATGTGGATTTCCTATTTTAAAACCATGCAGCTTCATCAATTTTTATACATATCAGAAAAGTAGAATTATATCTAATTTATACAAAATAATTTAACTAATTTAAACCAGCAGAAAAGTGCTTAGAAAGTTATTGTGTTGCCTTAGCACTTCTTTCCTCTCTAAATGTAAAACAAATTGCACAATTTGAGTAATTCATTTCACTTTAAAGGCTTTCCCTCTCCTTAAAATGAAAACCAGATCCATAACTCTCAAGAGGATGAAAAAAAGAGATGTATTCCCTATCAAAACATATCAATTCAATACATTACTTGCACAAGCTTGTACATACATATTATAAACAAATGCCAACATACCCTTCTTTAAATCAAAAGCTGCTTGACTATCACATACAATTTGCACTGTTTCTTTTTAGTCTTTTACTTCCTTGCATTCCATGATTTCACAGAGAATCTGAAGCTATTGATGTTTCCAGAAAATATAAATGCATGATTTTATACATAGTCACACAAATGGTGGTCTGTCATATATTCATGTAATGAATCTGAGCCTAAATCTAATCAGGTTGTTAATGTGGGGATTTATACCTATTGTAGTCAATTAGTACGGTAGCTTAAATAAATTCAAACCATTTAATTCATAATTAGAACAATAGCTATTGCATGTAAAATGCAGTCCAGAATAAGTGCTGTTTGAGATGTGATGCTGGTACCACTGGAATCGATCTGTACTGTAATCTTGTTTGTAATCCTGTATATTATGGTGTAATGCACAATTTAGAAAACACTCATCCAGTTGCAATAAAATAGTCATGAAAATCTGAGCAATTGTTGAATTTCTTTTTAAAGTAATTTTTTGAAATATTAGTAATTTCTGGGCAAAATATTTGCTGAATTCCTGGGTTGAAAAAATACTAACCCTATTTGCAGAATCTAATAAAACACAGAATTTTGCTTTACTGTGCTCTCTACTCTCTTTATCTTGCTTAGGGAACCACCAGCTTTTTGGAGATAATAAAAGGATATCACTAATATTTTATTTCTTAAATTTGAGGCTGGAATGAGCCACAACAAACACTTGTATTTTTTTTAAATTTTTGTTTTAAGTGTTTTCACCTTCAGCCCTTTGGCTTCTATTTTTTAAAATGACTTTGTGAGGTTTTTTTTTTTTTTTTTTTTTTTAGGAGAAGAGATTTAGTTAATTATTAACAAGCAAGACTCAAATACCCTAGCTTAGTTTGTTTACACATTTAAAAACATATAAAAATGTTACCACTTTCTTGGTTCTTTGTTCTATTTGAAATTTGTACATTTTCCTGAACTGAAATGTTCTCTATATTACAAGCAAGTACTATTCCAAAGAGAAAGTTATATACCTTTAGAAAATTCCAGGGGGAAATGGCTTAATTAATTTAGAGAGTACAAGAAGTGACGTTTTATAATTGTTCCATAAATGTCTTGTGATGATTTCAATAAATTTTCTAGGAAAAGACAGTAATGAATTATTTGTACTCAAAAACATATTATTTGCACTAAAATATATTTTAGAAACGTATAACTAATTCTCCTCTCCCTTTGGAGCACTATTATGTTTTATCATAGACAGAACTCACTGGAAAAACTTATAGATGATTCTGTCCATTGTTAAGTCCACTAAAATAAGTTTGGCATTACTCTTCCTCTAGATATATTGACTGACAGGAGTGATTCCTAGGGAATAACGTTTTGGCACTTGTGCCCTGGCTCTACTGTGGTGCTCTGATTACTGTCATTAGTAACTCCATTGTTCCTCCTCTGATTTGGATGCCACATTGGATGACTACCCTTTTCCCAAGCTTGTTCCTTTAATCTCCTTCTCATTGGTGATTTAGGGGTTCCAGAAAGCTGACCTCATTTAGCAAGCTGCTCCAGAAAAATGTGAGTAATCTAATGGATGGGAACAATTAGCCATACTAATAACATTGCCAATGGGGCAACGTCAAGCTGTGACAGTAGCAGTAAGGAATATTTCAACATTAAAACAATGTTTGAGTGCAATTTTAAATATATCATTTTAGCATGTTTTCCATCAGCCGTCATCACATGACAGAAATACTTTTAAGTTAGTCCAAACTTTATCCAAAATGCAATAATATCATTCCAAGTGAATCAGAGTTGTTATTTTAGAATCAAGCTGTTGCTTCCTACATCCTGGACTGTTCTCACTGTTCTTACTTTAAGAGATATAATGCTGACATGATATCTGAACACTGCCTGTCTTCTCCCGCACATCATGAAGTGAGTATTCATATCTGGTATGGTCAATACAACAGCTCAATTTCTCCTGTAATTAAAATTATATCTATCCAGGCAAACAAAAAACTGTTGCTGTAGTGGACAGGAGAGATAATAAAACTGTGATATTATAAGAATTCTAGCCTTTAAAACAACAAGCAGGGAAACCTATACTGTGGATATTTTATGTAAGGTAGAAATGAAGACTGCAAGTTAGATATTTTTCATTTTTGCCTATATTCATTCTAAAACACAAGGATTCTTTCAGTCAGTCAAGGAGTAACTCACATGCCACCATCTTTTATTCAAAGGCAGGCACAGATGTTCCTTCTGCAGGGGAGGTTTTAATTTATGAAAATGATATTGTTTATGCATGAATGAACTGAATGCACTCTGCATAACACACAGCACTTCCATCTGATCAGAGAAATACCACAGAACCAGTGCCAATGTCAGAAACATATTCTACAAATTTACTCACTTAAATGTTTAATGAATATTTGGAAGGCATTTTCAAACCATAAGAATCTTTTCAATCATCTTTTTCTTTTCTTTTGGAATACTACCCATATTTAAAAGAGACTTACAATTTTTATGATTGACTAATGCCTATATCTAGCAGGTAAGAGAAAAAATGTCTTACTAATTGCAAGCATAAAGAAGAAACACTGGCAAATTTGGCTTCATTAGAAAAAAAATATTTTTTAGTGTTGTTTCATATGACTTGTTATGAGTAATATATAGAGCTGAGTGTTCCTTGGTCTTGAGCAATTGTTTATCAAAGAAGATGCTAAAATTTACTTATTTAAAATGAAAATATTCTGAAGGTACTTCCAGGTAAAGACCGGTGTTTAAGATCAGCAGATAATTTCATTGTTGGAGATGAAATTTGGCTTGATATTTTAACTGGTACATATTTCCTTTTGAACATTGTGTAACTTAGACTTCATTTATTTCAACAATTGTATTTATGCAATATAATCTACTTTAAATCCCCCAAAAGACAATTAAATGCAATTTAAAATGGAAGTTTATAATATCTTAAGAATGTTCTAATTTTACCTTTATGATATGTTATAGAAAAATAACATTTGAAACAAACTATGTGTTCTAATTTATTAATCCTAAAATACTCCCTTTGTTTTTCACATTTGAAAGTCTATAATTCTTACAAAATTAATGAGTTTCTGAAAGAAGCTAGCAATTACTAAAATGATATATGGTTCATTAGCTAACAGTTTGAACCAAGCTGTTTTTGTTCTACAATTAAACAGAGATTTAAAGTGAAAATATCTATTAAACAATTAATAAAACTAGGCTTGAAAACATAAGCGGGTTTTGTCAAAATGGGACTCATAAGAACGTATAGTTGTTCTTGAATGACACTAAAATTTCATTTCTTCTCTTTTTCTCTTCCTGCACCACCACTATTTCCTGAAATTATCTAAATAAAATCTGTAATTCTGGGGTCTGATAAAGAATAAAAGAGCCAATGCAACATCTTGTGGAACACCAGGACTGAGCACTCTTGTTGGGGGCATTGCATGGAGGCATTCTGGCCTCAGATGCACAGTGATTTGTATGGTGGCATAATCATTGGCTTCTGGCCAGGCATTATGTTTCAGAGGACACTATTGTCAAGAACCATTCAACTAGAAATCTGCACTGTATGCACTCAGAAGTTGAGATCATCTGCCTTCCTATGTCAGGAAGAATTCTGTGCTGGCAATTGACTCATGCACTCTCTTCACACACGCTAGCACTTGGCTCTGATGGAATTAGCTGTGTAACCAAACCAGTGGCATCAACAAGACAGGGCTGCAACCTCCTGGGACTTCTGTTTAAATTGCTAATTTTTGAAGACCTTAAAATGCAGAGTATTATGTTAATACTGGACTAAATCTTCAGATATATTAAATGTAGATTTGGCCGTTGAAACCTTATTATGCTATTTGTCCAGTTAATTTAGGGGTAGATAGTGATAATAATCATCTTTACAGATCCTGAGGTATGGAGTAATACAAAAGGATGGATTTGAGAGTCTTAGCACACAGCCATGGGAACTGGGAAGGTGGGGTGGGGGGAGGCAGGAGGTCAACTGGCCCCAAATGAAGCAGAAGAACTAACTGATTAAGAGAGAATGGGTACTGAACTGGGATCAGTGACTAAAGCACTGGTCATTAGGACTGTGATAGAAGAAGCATTGATCACAAGGTACCACCTCAAGAAGTGGGCTTTTAGTGAATGTGCCAAAATTACTCTATCTGGGAAAAAGTGCAGAAAGTTCTCTGGCTTCCCCAGAAAGAGAAAGCAGCCATGGAAGTGGAACCCACTCCCTCGTGGTCTCCCAAGCCAGCCAGGCACAGCTCACATGGCAAAAGAAAACAATAGGCTTGCAGGATGTGTGTAGACATGGAGGACCTCGAAGATGAAATCCAAATGTTTCACCCCAAAGCCTGGAAGATTCAGTGATTGTTTCAGAGAACTTTGGATAAAGCGCCACCCTTCTCATGTTCCCCAGGTCCCTCTTCCATAATGGCTAGTGATCAGTGCAAAGGGTTGTGCTGAGAGGAAGATGGTGGAGAAGAAAAATTGGAGAGTGGGTTCCTTAGCATTCAATTCCATTTCTGAAAAAAATCCCAAGAGCTCTCTGAGATGTGTGTGTTACAAGCCTAAATGTAGCAAGGGGGACAGGCCATAAAAAGGGGTCTTTGGATGTGGGGAAAAAGTCAAGTAAATAAGGGAGCACAGAGCCTACTTGAGCCAAGGCAACAAGAAGCCAGCCTCTGTGATGGTCCTAGTGAGGAACACTCTAAATTCTGATGTCTGATGAGAACAGAGAATATTTTAGGGATGGCAGAGGAGGTAAGTGTCCTGATATCAGCCCTGCCACTATGTGAACAGGGTGGGCAAAACATTTTATATCACATTTGTCTCTGCTTTCTTTTCTTTTTTTTTTTTTTAATAGAGGCATGTTTTATTTATTTATTTATTTATTTGTTTGTTTGTTTATACATGCACTGGGTACAGTCAGAAGCGTGGAAGGGTGAGAAAATTCACCAGAGCCAGAGCAGGGAACAGAACAGGCAGACTGACGAAACACACTGCTGAGGGGAGCAGCGGGCGGCAGGAGAGGTCTGCGCACCATGTGGGACACTCCTCCGGTGGCCGGGGAGCAGCCGGGGATCGAACCAGCACTGCAGAGGCTGCGGGCAGCTTCGCAACCCAGCGCTCAACCGCTGCGCCACCGGGGAGGCCCTGTCTCTGCTTTCTTTGTCAGGATATATCTTTATAAAGTGAAGACCAAACATTAAAAAAAAAATGACAAAGAGATTGTTCTTCTTGTGAAATGACATCTAAAGACAAGAGAATAAATTCAGTCTCACATATATGAGGTAACTTGATCACTTACTTTGCTTTTGGGATTAAATGCAAATCCTGCTTTTTAGACTTTGATGTGTTAAGGACAGACATCCAGAAAGATGGCCTCACACATTACTAGGTCATTGTTAAGTACTTTTCATTCATTCGTATATTTCATCATCTAAGCAGTCCTGTGGCCTCTTTTACAGGTGACAAACTGGAGGAAACTGGGCTTTCTATATACTTGAATTATCAGTTTCCTTTCTTCATTCAGACTAGTTCAAAAGCCACTTCCTTAACGACACTTTTCAGATCTCCATTAAAAGTAGTGATTACCTTTAATATACCACTGTTACATTGCCTTTCTTCCTTCACAGAGCGTGCATTTGTCTGATGTTATCTTGTGATTTATTTAGTTCATTTTAAAACTATCTAACATCTCCCATAGAATATGGGCTTCACAAGAATACTCTTTTATTTGTTGTTGTTTCTCTGGTGCTTAGAAACTCTAAGAGATCCACAGTAAATATTGACATTTAAGGGAATCAACTCTGATGGCAAAGCCTGTTGCTTTAACTACTACTCTACAAATCAGGTCAGTTGAGATTGGAGAGAACCACTAATGAGTCTCAGTCCCCTGAAAGTGATAAGCATTAATTTTATAAAAGGGGAACAATTGAAGCTAATTTTTTATGACACTGTACAAAACCAAGCTCCCGTCTTCCCCATTGCTTTTGAGGATCAGTAGGCATGAATTATCAGGCATCTCTTCTTTTTATCGACACCCATTGGTTAGGTATAATTTGGAATTGGAATTAAAATAACTAAAATATTAAAACTTTTGCCAGACCATCCCATTTCTTAATATTCACTAAGAATTTGAATGCATGCTATCTTTTCTTTTGTTTATCATTCTTTTAGCAGTTGCTCTTATTCTTTCACTAGTGTTATATAAAACTGTCTCAAGCTTTCTTATCATCATTTAAGAGTTAAATTACATAACCAGCAATTAGTTTGAGAATTTAGTAGCATTTAACAAATTGAAAAATAAAAATAGACTACTTATTTGTTGATAATAGTACAGAAATAGAAATCCACTGTTTAAAAAAAAAAAAGTACCTTACAGTTAGAGTAATTGTTAGTTAAATTAATTTTAATCCAAATAGAATAAAAAAGTGGTAAATTTAAGGGGAATAAAATTTTCTTTTTTATTACAACAGAATTAAAGAAGAACATAGAATTACTATTTTCATCCATATCAGGTATTTATTTTAGGACACTCTACGATTTATTATGAAAGATTCTTTGGGAACAGAACCAGGAGAATCAGTGTAAAATCACTGTAAACAGGAGAATCAGTGTAAAATCACTGTAAACTGAAGAACAATGCTCTTATAAAAATCTTATTTATCTACAGTCTGTGTTCTTGGTTGAGGTAAATGCTGCTGAATTAATCTAACTTATCATTTCTGCTTTCAAAGGTATAAGCAGCATATCAATAATATTTCTCTAGTATTCTTTCTCAATGATGTTAGTTACAAGATCACTCCCACATTTGGTGACGACAATGAAGAGGTATTACAATGCTTCAGAGAACTGTTAATTCCTTAGCACTGGTGTCACTAACAATGGTAGTGTTTATCTGTTCATAGCAGGGAATTACAAATTTATATCTGTGGTAGGTACAAGTGATGCATCAATGCTCCTATCCTGGAGGAAAGAGGACATTTAGTATTCTAAAAAGAAGACGTGCGATAGCATCACTTCTCATTTTGTTAACAGGGAGTTGAATAATCTTTATTTTAGCCAATGGTTAAATAAACAGCAAACAATAGTAACAAATGCATAGAAGTAATATCTGGATCCTAAGTAGGAATATTTATTAAAATATTTCTTTACTAAAAGAATTGCATAGAGAGATTAGCCTACCTATTTATCCCAACATGAAGTTTTGAGATACAGAAACTCTATTTGATGGTCTCCTTGACTCTGACTAGCATATTAAAAATGTAAAATAAAGAGATATTTTGTTTCTTAAGATTTCATTTTTCTGCAATTAATAAATAATACATTTATCTTCAAATATATTTTCAAGGAGGGAAATAAACCTCAGTAGTGTTAAATTGTACTCTCTCCCTACCTTCCAAGAATTCATGCCAGTCAGAACCTCAGAATGTGATCTAATTTGGAAATAGTGTCCAAGTAATACATCTTAAGATGCAAATTGGGGTAAGGTCATACTGACTTAAGGTGGGTCCTGAATCCTGCCCTCGTAAGAAGAAGACAGGGCATGCAGATTCACAAGCACATGGTACATGGGAAGAGTGAAGATGTAGGAATATTGGCATGTTCTGTGAACAAGGAGAGAGGGACAGAGACAATTGCAGGACCAGCAGAAGCTAATCCATTTTTCTCTTCTCCTTCTCCTTCTCTCCCTCCCCTTCCTTTGCCCTCCTGAATGTCTCAGGTTTACTTTCAAGGGTTGGTCTTCTCTGTCTCTGTTGACTGATAAAGGTGTAAACTTAATGAGACAAAATGATGTGGGAGAGCAGTGACAGGGTCAGGATAGAGAAAGAATTTCAGAAGTAAGGGTATAAAATAGTGGGAATTTATTCTTATCAGGTTCTTTTATGTAAAGATGAAGTCATAAGTACCCTCTAAGAAAGAGGGGGGAGAAAGAATAAACTGTAGGTTTAGAATTGCCTGTCTGTGGATCTGGAGAAGAGGCTCCATTAAGACTAATCAATACTAGCTTAGTAGGGTTTATGACCAAGCAAAATTTGGACAGATGACAATGTAGTTCTTTGTAGTGGCCTCAGAAGAAATCCTCCAACAGCCCACACTTCAGAGTGGGAACAGAAGATAGCAGCATGTTTTTATGACCCTTAGGTAAAAAGGGTGAGGGTCCTGAGAAGAGAGAAGTTGAAATGAGGTACAGTGAGGTCCTGGAGAGCAGAGAGTGAATCTATCTGGAGATGGGCAACAATTCTGCAATACATTGGAAGATAGAAAGAGCACCTAATGAATTTGTGACTCTGGCTCAGGAGGTTTTTAGCAGACCTGAGTGAGTTCTAACTGACTTCTTTTTCACTACAAAAGATAAGGTTTTATAAGAGAGTGATTAGCAAGCATAATATAGAGGGACTGTAGAAGACCAGACAGACATTTGGGCTAAAATACATGCTAAAAACAAGAAATGGCTTCAAAGAAAAGATGAAGTGCTTCTAAACATGCTTCAGGTGAAACCCCAATCAAGGGTGTGGCTGGAAGATACAGTTTGCCTGGATAAAAATACTTGTAAGAACATTAGGATCATTATATCCATAATACCCTAATTTGGAGTCTGAAGTAGAGAGTCTCAAGGGATTTGTGGGAATAGTTTTCATATATTGTGCTATAACATAATTTTATAATATGCATATCATGTAACATAACTATATATCATGATATATACATGTGGTTCTATATATAAGCACATATACCAGCTATCATATATTTGATATGTATATTCATATATTTAT